TGGCCGGCTGCCCTTAGCGGCGGGTTAAAGACAGAATATGCTTGCTTATGCCTTGTGGTATTGACACGTGAGGATTTGGGGGGTGGTGGGGGTGGCCGGTGGGGGAAGGAATTAGGATGCAGTGGGGTAGGTAGGTGAGATGACCTGTACACCCTCATTCTAAAGTCTAACCCGCAGCCTTTTTCCTCTTGGAGATTGAGGTCATTTCCATAATTGCATTACTTCATTCACCTTCTTTGTGTTTTTTTTTTTTAGCAAGGGTTATTAAGAGTTTGCTGTTTCTCCTAGACGAAGGAAGACCTAATACTAGAAGGTTGTGTTTTATTATATGTTTAAATTTTACCGTCCAATACGTAGTGATTTATTAATCACCTCAATAATAAAAATATTCGAACTCTTAAAATTTAGATATTATATTCAAGTCTTTCTCTTTCAAATTTTTTTATTATAAAAAAAATTGTTTAAATTTTATAATTTGATGTAATTTATATGGTAAAATAGTTTTTGGAGTAATTATAAGGGGAATAGACAATATCATTGCCCTGAGATAGAACACAGATCTAACCCAAGTACATACTGAGCTTTTAAAGGCTTACTGGTGAACCACTTGGGCTAGCAAAAAAAAGTCTGATTTCATTCACCCTTAGATATTTCATTGGCTATAAAAATATGTTTTAAATATTTAGGATAATGATACCGGAGACGATTTTCATGAAACGAAATTAGGGGACGATCTATGTGACAAGCCACGTGAACAGACACACGACATATTTGCCACCTAAACCGAATTAAATGACTGATTTGGGTTTCATTATCCTAACAACAATATCAAACAACAGAACACAAAAATGTCTCAACAACAGACCACCAAAATGGACCAATTTTTTGCCTTAGAGGTACCCCCCCACGGGAGAGTCCCTACCCATGATCAGTTTTGGAGTATACCTAGCCAAGAACAAATACCGGTTGTTTCCAAACAAACGTCGGAATTTGGCCGCTGAGCCCGCCCGAAATTGGGACTCTAACTTTGTTGTTCTGCCCCTTTTAAACCCGAAATCCTCCTCTGATTCCCATCGCGTGTATAATCAGATCCTCCGGATGTGCACGAACTGGTTCAGTGAGTTTCCAATTTCCGGCCGTTGCCGCCGCGATGCGTGATGAGTACCACCTTGACCACTCAACAGATCAGGCTTCGCCCATGCTGATTTTGACATTCAGCCGCCTTCATCCTTAATCTTGGAGCCAGGAGAAACGACTCAGTGTTGCCAGCGGGTTTGCCGAATGGGGGGGTTTGGAGCAGAGAGAGAGGAAGGCGAAAATAAAAGAAAATGGACCAACCAGGTTTTCGACATTTTAGAATGTCTAGGTGGCAAATATGCCGTGTGTCTGTTCACGTGGCTTGCCACATAGATCGTCCCTCAATTTCGTTTCATGAAAATCGTCTCCGGTATCATTATTCAAATATTTAAGGTTGGGTAAAGACCAAAAATAGGTAATATTTATCAAGGATATTACCAATCATTATAATAATAAAACATAACAATCTCTCAAGATATCTTGCCTTTATTTATATTCACTATTATTTAAAAAAAATTGAGAG